CAACATTGCAACAGCATCTTAAAAGTATCGTAAAAATAAGAAATATTTAATGGAAAAAGGAAGGATCATTCATATCATAAATACCCCAATCTGCATACGAGGTAATTATTCATAAGTACTACGTCCAAATCTTTGACATTTCTAAAGATAAAGCAAAGCCTCAAATTATATCGCGTGCTTGAGTCACACACATGACCAATAATGCATACATGAGTAAAAATGCATTGTTCTTTATGCAACACCTAATCTGCAATTTGTCAATTTTGTATACATATAAAACCATTTTTCAACACACTTCCTCATAAAATGGCTCTTATCCCATATTATGTATAGTTTTCTCTTTTGATTTTTGTTTATTTTAGTATTATTTTATTCAGAAGCGTTTTAAAAAATGTATGATAATTACGTGTGTATTTTTCAACGTAGATTTTATTATGATAATGATATTATAAAGCAAGCTTGGTGAATAATGCTCAAATTTTTTCATGTGACAGTGTTCTCATCCTTTGGTCATCAGAGGGCACTTATTGGAACAATTTCATAAAGAAAATCATCATCATCGTCATATTTACCGGAAAACACCAAAGAGTTCACGCGGTTTACAAAATATATAAGTACATACATCGTGACTACTGCAGGTGCATTACAAAAAACCTTATCATGATCTGTGAGAATCAGTCTATCAATGGTAATCTTATCATAATCCACTGCTTATCAAAAGGGTTTCTACTTTAAGGTGGAGGGCTCCAAGTTGATACTCAAAGATCCTTGTGGATCTTTGCAGAATATAAGCCACTAGCTACTCTCGCGAGGTTACACCCGCTGCTCGACTCCATTGAATCGTAGCGTGATGGTTTAAAGCATATAGCACTCAGGAACATTGTAGCTTTTTATCAGTGAAAGGATTTTGGAAATCCAACCAGCGGTTCCAAAAATTACCCCCTACATAGAAACTTACAAACTTCCAAGTGTTACCTCTTTATAATATTAGTATAGAAGTATAGTTATAGATTTTTTTACCCTTTGTATGATCCAAATTCTTGTTCCGGGTCTGGGTGTCAGGTATGTGTAAAATTGTATGTATGTATGTAAACCACCTACGACGCAGGATAAAATCTCTGTGTAGGGCAACGTTTTAAAACCAACAGAAAGTTGCTTTCCAGACCAGACATTCTTTGTCTTCTAAAAATACGCTTTTAAAACACCTTAAGCTTTTCTTACGCACATTTAATGGACAATACCAAAGGATCATTAATAGTTGTGTTATTAATCGTACTAATAATAAACGAGAAAGTTAGAAACAAAAACCCTTTGATTTCAATTTAGCACAGAAGTAGATTTATAGTCTAATACAACAATTGAATTTTTTATTTTCCGTAGAGCAGGCGAAGCAGCTTGCATGAGAATTGAGAATGTTTGTAATTATTTCACGTAAAAACTACTGAACGGATATGAATGAAATTTCACACCGAGATAATCGGGAATAGATACTCGGGAATAATAAATAGGTTACTTGGATTACTGATACTCCTTTGTTTTGTGTGGGGAAATTCATAAAATGACTTCTCCCGCCCAGGGCCGGGCGGGAGGGAGTGTCAGACTCTTACTGACTAAAAATCCCCTTTTCCTTCTCCTGCTCTGGGCCGAGGTCGCGATGCCTCATTGTGCTTACCCCGCAACCCCAGCTGTACATCAGCCCTATAGGGCCCCGTCTCTGGTGGTCTATTGGCTCTTTGAGGCGCGCGCGGAACACTACGCGCCGTACGCTCGGGTCTGGTTCTGATCGGGCGGCGAGCTGCCCTTACTCGCCGACCACAGACCCGCGCTTACGGTGGCCGGAGATGGTCCCCACTTCCCTGAGGACCTTATGCTCCACCGTATCCTCTAGGTGATCTTCGCAATGACGACACTCGGGCGTTTCCTCCCGCTGGATCCGAAACAGATTACTGTTATTCCTGAAAACTAGTACTTAATAGTAATATCTATATTAAACTAGTACTTAATAGTTCTTATAAACAATTGACGATCATGCCGGCTGTCATACAGAATAGTCATTTGGTATCCCTAATCCTACGTCGCTATAGTGAAAACTTCTGAATAGAAAAATCAACATATTGTAATAGTAGTAAACAGTGACACTGGCAATTCCTCTACTTGATTGATGATTATCGATCTATAAATACATATGAACTTTAACGACCTTGAATTCCGTATCGGTCAGAGTCCAATCTAATGTTTTGTGTTCGTTTATCATGTTACATTAGTGTTGGCTACGTGGCTAGAGTATGGCAGACAGGTGTGATATGACCACCGCGTGACACACGACTCTTATCTTAAAGCCTAACGTTTGACACACGTTATAGTTGTACTGTTCCTTATTCGGTACACACTTGAGACGTTTGCCTTTGTAGTACATTAAATTAATGATATTTCCAACACACTTCCTCATAAAGTGGCTGTAATCCCACGGCAATTAGGCACATAATCGAACTGTGACTTTTACATTACTATTGCGCGTGGTGAATAATCATATTACTTCTACCAACCTACGTAGGGCTAGTGGGAATGTCAGACTCTTACTGACTAAAAACTGCCCCATTCCTTCATCTGGCCCGGACCAGGCCGGCGACTCAACATATTATTGAACTTGCACCTGCAACTCACAGTAAACCTTTAGTTTATGGATTCTTTCACAATCCGTTTTAGTATTTTATATTTTATTTTTAATGAAATCACGTCTTTTTATTTTCTTCGAGCTTTTTTAACAGGGGAATATCATTAAATGCCCTTTCCCACCCTGCGTATCGCGGGTTCGGTTTCCGTTTTCACGATCCGGATCTCGTTCCTGTTCACGTTCCTTTTCACGTTCCCGTTCGCGTACCCTTTCTAAATTACTAATCTCCAATCCCCAATACCATTCATAACTTTTAATCTCTAAACTCTAATTTCTATTGTCTAGTTTCAAATCTCTAATCCCTAACCTCTAATCTCTATTATCCAATCTCTGATGTCTTATTTCCAATATCCAATATCCAATATTTTATCACTAATCTCTAATCAGAAAACAATACTTTCTAGGCCACATTTTTTTAATCATATAAAAAAAATAAACTATAGCGAATACCCATTTTAACTCCTATTAATTACATTACACACTGTACAAACAAAATATTTTAATACCAATGAGAACAATATCGAACAAAAAACCGGAACTGAAAATCTGATTGTATTATCAATATTGATTTACAGCTCAGGAAGCGCTAAATCATTCCACATGGTATACGTTAATTACTTTTAACAGGATTACAGCTTATTTTAATAAAACCGTTGATCGTTTCGATCGCTACTGCTACACAAGACTTCACATTCGATGTACCGATACAAACAAGAGATTGTAAGAGATTAAATTTATGTAACTGCTTCCCAGTTAGTAAGTTTCACTTTCCCGGAGAGCCAATCTCCCCCCCCCCCCCCCCCCCCGCCCCCCTCATCCTTGGGCGAGGATCCTCTACCGCGCCAAATTAGTTCGTGGCGGAATGAGCTCCGGCGAGATCTCATGGCAGAGTGGAAACAACGACTGTCGCAACCGAGGACCGGGCACGCTATTATAGCAGCGGTAAGACCCCTCTTTGAGGAGTAGCTTGAGAGACGTCACGGCACCCTCACCATCCGCCTGACGCAGGTCCTTACCGGGCACACAGCTTCGGTAGGTTCCTGTTTCGGATCCAGCGGGAAAAAACGCCCGAGTGTCGTCATTGCGAGGACCAGCTAGAGGATACGGTGGAGCATACGGTAGCGGTATGCCCTGCCTGGGCTGAGCACCGCCGTGTCCTCAGGAAAGTGATCGGCAGCGGCGACCTCTCGCGCCTGGCCTTAGTCGAGGCCATTGTGCGGAGTGAGAGGAACTGGGACGCCGTCTCCTCCTTCTGTGAAGCAGTTATGCTCGCAAAGACGGAGGCAGACCGCAAAAAAAACCCCTCATCCTTAAATCAACAAAAGGACGGCAACGCACTTGTCGTAACTTCTTTGGGCGGCGCTGATTGCTTACCATCAGGTAATCCGTCTGCTCGTTTGCCGACTAATGACATAAAAAAATTAAGAAAATATTTATTTAAGTAATACGTTATATTCGTCACATATATATTTCAATAAGTTAAATCATTATCTATCGCCATTCATTCTGTGTTTCGTGGTTTACAATAGGTCGACAAAATACCGACATTTCCATGTGTATTGTATGGTTAAGTTACCATGTTATCAATAAACCACACTGATCAACTACATGTCCATCTATTAGCCATTTTATAGCTAGTCCAATTGCCTATTTCAATGACGAGTATTATGAGGGGATATAGAAGGTTTAAGGTACAATTAGAAATTACTCTCATTGATATATTTTGGAAACTAAACTATGTTTATATAACATAAGTGATTCATCATAATTATTTAATTATTTGACGTACTCGTAAGTAGTAGTATCATTTGCCAGTCCTTCTCTTTTAGAGAAGCATAAATGTTCTGCATTGAAAAAAATATATATTTAATAGGTATTTTTTGATTTTGTTTGAGTTTTTATATCATAAAAGTAAAAGCCATTTTTCTTAGGAACTTGTAATTTACTTTTACGAAGACATGATTTAAACACATACGACAACGGACTGAATTCTAATAGCAACAACTCCCGTATCTGCGTAAGCGCATATATGCGGTAACTTAACTGTAGTACCGTATAAAGGGATCTTACAAAAGTTAAAACCCACATTGTTATTAATCAATTAACTTTTCGTAATTTAACTAATACATAACTAGAAATGTCGCTGTGAAGATAGGTCGTCCCGGCCAAAGGCCTCGTTTAAGAACGCCAAAGTTGGCTTAAGATGGTTATGTCAAGAGCCCGAATGGAAGGACATTGGCTTGTATTGTCCAGAGATTCCTTCAGACCCTTGACCACCTTTTATAAATTTAAAAAAATATAATAGGTAATATTATATATATTAATAATAAATAAAAGAAACAAAAAAGATTTGAAGTATAACAGATACATTTATTTGTATAGAAAGTATCTATACAAATAATTTAGATAATTTATTGCTGGTTGATGTTGACGATGATCTGGACGAGGGGGCTGGAAGCGGGGACTACGGGAGTCTCAACAGGTTCTGCGGGTTCAACCACGGGCATGGGGGCAGGTACGGGGTTGATAATCTCGGGCTTGGCAGGAGCCAGACCAGCGGGAGCAACGACGGCGATAGATTCCTAGAAACGAAAATTTTAGAGTCAGTTATACATAATGGATTTCCTGAAAAGGTGAGCAAAATTGTAATGTAATATAGGTATTTGCTGGTAAAGACTATAAAACAGTGTTTATTGTTTTCAATGCGCTTATCTCTGGAATTACTGGTTCGAATTGAACAATTGTTTTCGTTCAGTAGACAATTTATTGAGGAAGGCTATAAAGGCTATAAAAAATCACGCTACAATCAATTGGAGCTAAGTAGCGAGTGAAACAGCTTGAGAGAAGCTAGCTTTTAAATATATTTTTTCTGAACATTCAATTTTTTTTTTCAGGAATGTTATTAACGCATACAAGCTAAACTAAACTTCAGCTAGTTTAGAGCTACAATACCATCTAGGTATCTGTTATATTAAAAAGTTCACAATCTACAAACCTACAGTTTACATTTTGTAAAGAATAACTAATTCGTTCCTTTCAACTCGGTTTCAAATTCCCGAATAGTCAATTTTATTTGAAAACTTGATTGTTTCGACCTGGTTGCACAGGTCGTGGTCACAAGCAGACTGTTTTTAAATAATTATTTTCCGCGTTAATACCCGCTTAATTATAGTTATGTTGTAAATATGAAACGCAAAAGTTTAAAAGTTAGTATTTCAGCAAGTAGGTATGCTTTGACTTCAAAATTATCCTTACCAATTCGTGTCCAGCGTAGAGAGCGTCCATCATCTGGTTAAGAGCGTGTTCCAAGTAGGGAATCATAGCGGGGTTGGTCTCAGGGTTCTGGAGAGCTTCGGAAAGCTCACCGAGAGTCCAGTGGGTGACCTCCATGGATACGGGAGGAACACCGACGGCTTCCTATAATACAAGAGGATCAACTCATTATAAATCTTATAGTTCGTGGAATAATGCCATTTATTTTACGTTTACCGGTAAGTGGCGGAAACGAGCTGATGATAATGCTGATGAAATGGAAGACCTTTTACATACTTGTAATTGTTTTTTATTGTACTTTCACGATAAGACTCCAAAGATTGGTATGTATATGAATGATATTCAGCTTTACACCATCAGCATCAAGAAAGAACTTAACGTAGTAATATAAGAAACCCGAAGTTTATAAGTATACATTACTGTTTCACGTAAAAACTACTAAATTAATTTTCATGAAACTTGGCACAGAGATAGACTATATAGTTTGGAATAACATTTATGCTACCTATACTACTCCCCGATAAGCGGACAAATTGCTGGCAGAATCTAGTTTATATTATCAAGAGTAATCTTAAGACAGTCACCTCAACGAAACTGACCAATGATCAAATCTTTAAGACTTATCAACTCACCACTGGGATGCCAGCGTAGATAGCGTCCATTAGTTGATCGAGGGCTTGCTCAAGGAAGGGCATGAGAGCGGGGTCGGTTTCAGGGTTCTCCATAGCAGCAACCAGGTCGTGGATGGTCCATCCAGTCAGGTCAACGGGGGCGCTGGCGTCAACAGGAACCTGTAATCAATAAGAAGTGGTTAAGAAAGGCAATAAAACTTCTTTCTAAGCTTTTTTTCTTTTTTATTTCTGCTATGATATGTATTATTCTATTTGATTTATTTTACTCCTATCGAATATTAGCTAGATGACTTCAGGCCCAAAGTGAATTGGTTGTTTATCGGCAGGAGTGCTGCATTGTAATTGCCAAATGCCGACTGATTGACAATAAATTTGTGATTTGAACAGTCCCCTCTTGTTGAGAAGGCCTATGTATAAGTCCAGCAGTGGAAGGGCTATCGATACTCAAATATGGTGTACGTACCACGGGTTTCTCAGCGAAGATTTGATCCATCATTTGGTTGAGGGCATCTTCCAAGGCAGGCAGCAGAGCGGGGTCGGTGTTGGGGTTCTGGATGGCTTGGGAGAGGTCGTGCAGAGACCAGCCACTGTAGTCAGCAGCCGCAGCCGCCACCAGGAGAGCAAATACAGTCAGGAATTTCATCTTCGTGATTTCTTTGAGGAAAATAAGAAAAAGAATTGATTATATTTGACCAACACTGCACTTATTACGTATTTTATTGATTGTGTTTTATTTTCTTACTTGTTTTAGTATTATGCTCTAGAATCTAGATAGCAGTATGGATGATTCAATTGATAATCTTAGTAAAATGATGCTGATATAATATATCATATCATCAGTGAATCAGGAAGTCTAAATATTTTTTTCGGTACAAGATAAAACATTTGCATATGGGGTTTATTTTAATTCGTTTGGTATAAATCAAATGAACATCTACACAATATTACACTATAAAAAGTTAAAATATGGTCGGCTATGCAAAATTATTTCACTGATAGGTAGCTGCGATGTTCCTGAATGCTATAATAATATGGTATAAAACATCACCCTGCGACCAATAGGTGCCGAGCAGCGGGTGGAATAGTTAGTTAGTAGTTAGTTTTATACAACTTATTTTTTAATATTATACACTATTTCTTTCAACAATGATTTATATTATATATTTTAATGTATGTTGCTATAATATAATCAAATTTTACACTTACCTACCGTCGGGTAATTTGGTAGGAAAATTGCAAACATGTACTATTTATACTGTTATTTAATCAAAGATGCAATAAATATAATCTACAGCAGTTTATTGCATTCGATCAAGTTATATCTCCGTATCGATAAAAAGAGATTATTATATAATCTTATTGTTATTCATTAAGCGAATTTCGAGGGGGTTACCTGACGTTCTAAATAATCGATAAGTACCTACATTAAAGAATGCCTCTTTGGTCGATTATGCAAGCACAAAAGCCCATCAAGTGTTCTTGGATTTAATTCACAGGTGGGGAATGAGACGGCTCGACTACAGTAATATCTTGACCTCACCAAACCCGTGTGATACCACCCGAACGATGTGTTGACACAATTCGCTGTGAAAATGAGGTTACCTGAGCCCTAATCCTTCATCCTTTGAGATCCTATTCCTCAAAACGCAAACGCTTTCTGTACCAGGAGGCAAACGAACAGGCCTGAAGGTAAGTTATCAATGCCGTCCATGGACACCCATTACACCAGAGGAATCATAGGCGCGTTGCCGGCTTCTTAGTGACTGTACAAATATAAAAGTTGCTTATTGTTACTATATCATAAAGCATCATAAAGTATATCAAAATATCGTCGTACGACGCTAAACATGTCGTACGACAATATGTCTTACGACACATCAACATTGTCGTGTCGTCGCCTGACGTCACATCTAACAAAAACGTTGTATGGTCGTACGATGTCGTGACGTCATATCTCATGGCAACATTCGCAGGAAAGGTGAAGGAGCACAATGAATGTCAATGAAGTTCCTGCGTTCGCGTGGAATCCTGCAAATTTTAGTTATCAAAACTATGTCCTTTCTCGAGTTCCTAACTGTGTGTACCAAATTTCACAGAAATAGGCGTCGAAAATCAGTAGCTTAGGCGTTAAGAAAAGACAGACAGACAGAGTTACTTTCGCATTTATAATATTATAGTTTGGATCTATAATATTAGTTTGGATTAGTTTGTATTTCACCATACAAAGATTTTCTCTAATGTCGTGGATGCGTTTACAAACATAGGTACATATTGATATGCCAAGCACGATTTTACCACACATCACATTTAATTCTATCAATGACATAACTTAAGGCTTAAATATTATTAGATAGTCTTATGTTTCATTAATGGCAGTTAAATTTTAATCTTTATCCGTCGTAAATTAGGGTTTAAAGTTGTCAATTAAAAAGTAAGTACGTGTTGCCAATCAATCATTCGACTCGCTTGATGTTGTAATTGTGTTATCTTCCAATTATATTTTTCGGTAATCTATCGCGTATTTAGAAACTCTAAGAAGTTATCCGTTTTTTGTAACTAAGGTTTTTTTATGGCGAAACACAACGCTGTGGTTGTTTCACGCCGGTTTTCTGTGAGGCAGTGGTATCACTCCGGTCGAGCCGACCCATTCGTGCCGAAGCATGGCTCTCCCACACTTGTACTCTAACTTGGTAAAGATAAACTATGAAATCTATACTAATATCATATAATAAAATATGTGTAAGTTTGTATGTAGTGGGTAATCCTTGGAACCGCTAGTTAATTCCTGAGTGCTATAGGTTATGAAACATCAAATGGAGCCCAGCAGTGGGTAGTAGCTAGTATTTTTATAAGAAGATAAACCAAAAAATCTTTAACAAAGTCACGACAGCTACTGATAATATAATGATAATACCCTGATCATAGGCTACGTGGAGTCGTCGTCATAAATACTATAAATCATTATTATAATACGTGTTTATAAGGTGGTTTTTATATAGATAAATCATTCCATTGCCGTCAGTCAATCATCTCAGTCTTGATATTATACGAGACGAAAATTACCTTCTAAATGCATATATTCTTATACCTCTTAAAAGTGAATTTTCAGCACTTCCAACTCTTCTCTTTTTTTAAAATAACGTTGCCCTACACTAGGATTTTCGCCTGTGTCGTAGGTAGTTTTACAAACATTCAATTTCACATACACATCACACCCAGACCCGAAACAACAATTTATGAATCACACAAAGTGTTTTTCCGTGCGAGAATCGAACCCGCGGGCCACGTTGCACGGAAGCTAGTTGCCCAGCCACCGCACCAACCGTGCAGTTCTAGTACCGAACTATCAGTCGATGACTGTATTTTTCTTTTTTTTATGTGATTTGTCTTCTACCGTGCTGGTTGAGAGGAAACCAACCCGTTGCTTCTTCTCGCCATTGCTACCGTATTTTGGCACGAATGGGTCGACTATACCACGGCCTCACAGAAAACCGACATAAAATTACCACATTGTTGTATTTCGCCCTGTGTGTGAGATTATCGACACCCCAATTACCATTTTTTTAAGTCCTCAACCCCCAATAACCTGGCATTGCAGTCTTAACTCCTCTAATTTTACAGAAGACTCGTCTGCTCGTTACAACCTGCAGGATATGTATATACACAATACATATCCTGCAGGTTTTCTAGTGTTTTGTACTGAATTTCGTCACTCTCCAAGGACACGGAAGAGTATACCACACTTTACACAGTAAAGACTTTATACAGTAGTATAAAGCTACATTAAATTTGAATTCGTGATAAAGAACAAATAAAATCAAGTGATCAAACACAACTATAGAAGCAGAAGAATAAGAATCCAATAGAACAAAAATAAAAATAAAAGTTCATTTGTGCCACCCGATCGGACGGCGTATCGTTCCGCGCACACCTCAAAGAGCCAATAGACCACCACAGACGGGACCCTATAGGGCTGATGTTCAGCCGGGGCTGCGGGGTAAGCGCAATGAGGTACCGCGACCTCGGCCCAGAGCAGGTGAAGGTATGGGGGAGTTTTTGGTCAGTAAGAGTCTGACACTCCCTCCCGCCCGACCCTGACATTTGATGATTATCCTCAAACAAAAAAAAATTCATTTGTGCCAAAATTAATTTTAGGCGGGCAACATCGGCCCAGTCCGGATCAGAAAATGGAACGAAGATGTTTTTAGTCAGTAAGAGTTTGATATTATCTCTCCCCCCACCCAGGGTGGTAGAAGCCATTGGATGAATATGCCGCTTCAAGAAAAAGGACAACTCTAATGTTGCCAATGTCCATGTGCTTCGCCAATTGCTAACCATCTGGTACGGTAACTGGTTTGCCGCCTCCGCCAAATACCTTAAAAAATGGTTTCTAAATCGAATTTATATTTGTGTACATAGATACAAGGAGTTCTTTTTATTATGCTATTTGATAATGAATTATTTATTGCACGTGTATCTATCTATCTGCTTATATTTTACAATACTGCTTACATCAAAGTCAAACTAAGTATAACTTGTTTGTGGTATTACATAATAATAATAATAATAACCCCCCCAGGGGACCACCTTGACGTGGTGGGGGGGCTTAGGGAAGGCATGAACTGTAAAAAGGTCAACGATAACTAGACCAACCCTTTGAAGGAGGTACCAGTACTGGAGCCACTAACACCTTGGCTATACCCTTCCAACTAACGGTCCCAATCACCTATGCATTTGACCCAGTCACAATTCAAATGCATTATTTTCCCTACCTACCTAATTTCCTCGTCACAGCCTTAATCGTTCATAGGCCTGTCCTATCTTCCTTGTCTTTTTCATGCTATACTTACAACTTCTTTACTCACGTCTAACCTTGGCCATTCCTCATTATAAAATTAAGACTCCATATATTTTATGCGATGCGTCTAAGATGTAGAGTTATACCCCAGGCGGGTACCGGAGTTAACAACAATGGAGAATCCCGCCCCGGGCCATCCAGCCCGGGCTGCCCTTCGTATTCTGGGGAGGGCACCGTATCGCATGCTGCCCAGTCACAAGCTGTTGCAGCAAGACATGCTCAATCGTCAACATGTTCGTCACCAACTTCATCATTATTCTCGTCCATTCCTTCATCACCAGCATCATATATCAATAACCAACTACCAAGCTCAACCAATTCATCTCCATCATCATTTCGATCCACCAGGGAAGTTGTGCAGGAGGCTATCTCAGCCGAAATTACTGCACCCGCCCAAGGTGTTCGGCGCACACGTAAAACGTGGACGAAGCCAATGAATATTTTCATCATGCGCCATTATTTCATTCTCACTTATCTGGAACAGAACACAAAAACTTACCTAACACCACTACACGCCCGCTTTACAGCAGAATTCCCCGATATGAATGCCTCAAAACAAAGAATCGGTGATCAGCGCCGTGCCATTGTCCAACGTAATGTCCTCACAAACGAGGAAATTTTAAAAATAAAGGAAGAAGTAAGACTTTTACTACGAAATCAATCACCTATATCACACTATACAGAAACCAACCATTCTTCTTCCCGTAGAATGAGATGGACTGACCAACTAAATGAAACCATCATGAAAAGCTATTATCGTTTAACAAACCTCGAAACAGACTTCACCACTTATAGATTATTACTACACCAAGACATAATCTCAAAATGTCCCTCTATTGCACATCTGTCTGCACAAAGAATTGCAGACCAACGAAGATCCATTGTAAACAATCAACTTTTATCCACTGATCGGTTAAACGAAATAAGAGAAGAAGTTAGAAATGAGTTATCCTGCATGAACAACTATACCTCGGATAATACAACACCACAACCAACAATTCATGAAACATTAACACAAACAACACCATTAGCCACCAACACCGCCAACATCCAATTAACAACAGCAACAAACACGAACGACCAAAACACACAACAATTAACACAAAACAGCTTAATACTATCAGCTGAAATAACTAAACAGTTAGAGGAAATGTATAGTGAAACTTACCATAAATTAAAAAGCTCGGACCCAACAACACGACCTTACATCACTAAGTTAAAACCGTCCCGGAAACTGGCAGCTATTACAAGTTGTCTCAATACGCACATACTTCCAAAGACACTGACACCAAACACAGACTTCAATACACTACAAACTTCGATTTATTGCGCAGCATACACCGCAGCAAAATTTAATGGTGCCCGAATTAAAGAAAACGTTGAATCTAATAATCAATCGGAACAAGTACCATGGTGGCAAAAACGATTAGAATGCAGGATCAGTAAACTAAG